TGGGTAGCAATATTCACCAAGGCCGCCACTTCAATGCCGAAGAAAGATCTCCTCGAAGCGCGGCGAGAGGAGTACAATGCGCGCAGAGAGCGGGAGGAGCGGGAGAGGACTGCATATCTACCGCCAGGCCTGATAAACCACGGTAATACATGCTTTATGAACTGTATTCTACAGTCGGTGAGTGGCGAAGGATTGTAGAGAGAAATGCCGCTAATCAGATTGCACAGTTACTTGCTACCAAACTATTATCTGACCTCGTACACTTCAATACAATATCGGAGACAACGCAGCGTAAATCTGGAACGTTTCTAGCCTCAAGAAGATCACCGCAGCTAACGAATGGCCATCGTATGGGAGGAGAGTATGAGCTGGCATGGGTTAACACGATGCCAGTGGGCGACGAATTTTTGGGGTTGATGCTGAAAGCATGGGATGTTCAGGCGAAGAGGCAAAGGCTGACATTAAGTCCAAAGTACGTTTTAAAGTGCTGTGTGTAAAGTGTCCATCCACGCTACTTACTTTCATCTTACTCGTCGATCCTAATCTAATCTCCGAAATTCTTCCAGGCCTCTCCTAAGCGCTATCAGTCGCAAGCACCCCGACTATCTGTATCTCGCACAGCAAGATGCCCATGAGTTTCTTCGACATTTACTAGACGGGATGCGTATGGAAGAACAGGACGTACGTCACACCTGCATTAATCGTCCAAATTCACTAACATCATCCTCAGATTATCAAAAAACGCCAACCGCCCCCCGACCCCCCGAAAAAACGGCGTCGGACGACAATAACGCCCTCTAGTGTCGGTATCGCGCAGCCTCCACAATTCGAACTCTCTAGTCCCTCTCCCGATCCACTGCCACAAGAGGACCGGCTACTCTCCTTCCCCGACATGCTATTTGGAGGCAAGTTGACGAGCATCCTCGTGTGCCAATACTGCAAACATGTCTCGCAGACATATGAAGATTTCAATGATATTAGTCTCAGCATTAAGCCAGAAGAATATCACCACGGGAAGAAGCGCGATCTGTTCAAAAGCCTTGCGAAACGGCTGACGGCATTCCCTTCTCATAATAGTCTGAGTGTCGGCGAGGAAATTCCGAGGCCGTCATCGGTACCACCGAGTCCAAGTCCCAGTGAACAGCGGCTAGGAGACATACATGAGCCTTCTGTATCTTCATCTCGTCGAAGAAGTTTAGATCACATATCCGAACTTGGAACGGACGAAGACGGCACCAGTGATGGTTCACATGTAGTAATGAACGTCGAAGAAGCGAAGCATATTGAGTTCGATGAGAATGCAGCACGGAGGGAAAAGAAGTCGGAAAAGGAAAGGGAGAAAGATAGCGGAGACGCCTGGTCGAAGATCGGACGGCGGATAAGCATGTCTGTAGGTCTAGGAGGCAAGAGCAAGGACAGGAAGAGCCGATCCAGGGAACGTGTGCGAGATTTGGGACCCAACGTGTCTGATGCAGTCGTAAAAGACGTTGCGTTGGAAAGTGGCTCTACACCGCGGCCTAGCATGTCGAGTTCCTTGCTGCTAGCACCCGAGATACGTCTTTCCCCACCATTAAGATCCACATCGTCCCGTGGAAACTCACCTGCCCGTCCTTCCGTTGACGAAGCACCTAAGTCATCCCCCGCCCCCCGCAGCTCATCTCACTCCAGTCGCCATCACCACCGCCATGCGAAACCGCCCAAGATCTCTGATGCCGAAGAGGAGTATCTGCGCAAGATCCTGTCAGATGTCAATTCCCAGACGGCATCGTCGTCGTTCGCTTCAATGTTCAAAACTGGAAGTCTGCATACGCCGCAGCACAAGAAGCGGCGATCGTTGTCTGCGGGGACGCAGGCTGCGCATCAGAATATCCTTCTTGGAGTGAACCAATTCTCTGTCGAAGAATGCCTGCGCATGTTCACTGCCGTTGAGGTGCTGGATGGCGAGAATATGGTTGGATGTCGACGGTGTTGGAAGAACGCAAATGGTCAGCATATGGCACAGGAGAAGGATGGCGAGGCTGAGGATTCAGATGCGGAGCAGGATAGCACTTCGCAGTCTGAACAACCGAAGCATTCGTCTGTCAAGACTGGATCATTGGCATCGTCGCTCTCGGAGGTACAGCTACCAACTGCAATGTTTTCACCGTCGGCGTCGGTATACACCCCCGGGAATCTCAGTGAAGGACATTCTGTCTCGTCCCAACCAGCAGGGGTGGATGTGGTACCCACAGCATCGCAGATGCACGATGTTCAATCTCACATGCTCCCGGAAACTGCTGTAGATGACGAGGAGGGTGGTCCTGTGCTTCCTATAACTCCCGCGGGTCTCCCGATACCATTGATATCTACCACAGCGCCAGATGCCGGAGATTCAGAATCTTCAACGCTCACATCGGATTCTGATATTGATACGGAAACGTCTACGGATCATACATCGTCGACATCACTATCAAGTACACCGCCTAATAGCTTGCCCATCGCTCGTCCTGCGCCTCGCCTTGGACAGCTTCTCTATCACATGCCTGCTGAATCGAAAGATTCGTTGACCATCCCAGGACGGAACAGGCGAGCCAGTTCAGACGACGAGAGTTCTGGAGCCGAGAGTGACACCTCAGTAGGAACCTCTGTATCAGATGAATCCGCATCTTCACAGCAGGCTTCTGAGGGGGGAAAAAACTCTGTCAAGAAGCCATCTCGCCCCAAACAAGTCATCATGCGCCCAGCGTACAAGCGCTATCTATTCTCTACCCCCCCGCCTGTGTTAGTGATCCACCTCAAACGCTTCCACCACCTTACCAAGGCGCCTGTGCTTTCTTGGCAGAGTTCTCTCGCGCGTAAACTCGAGGATTATGTTGCTTTCCCAGAGTATCTCAACCTTACCCCATACTTGGCTCCGAAAAAAGAGGACTATGGGCTTGGGAAGAGGTCAAAAGTGAAGAACAAGAAGGACAAAGAGAAGGAAGAGAAGGAGCCCGAAAAGTGCATGTATCGTCTATACGCAGTGGTACAACACATCGGAACTATGGTATGTTCATTTTATATGACGATTGTAATGAATGGCAGCTGATATGTTTTATGGCTTCAGAACAGCGGCCACTACGTTACCTACGTCGCCCTTCCAAATCAACCTCCTGTTCATCACAAGAGCTCAGAAGCAGACTCAAGCACACCTACCAATTCGCCTGCTAATCCCGAACTAACACCTGCACCAACAGAGCGCCTGTGGGCCTACGTCAGCGATACCTCCGTACGACTCGTCACTTTGCATGAAGTTCTCAGTGCTCAGGCATACATCTGCATGTATGAGCGTTGTTAATTTCTTCGTAACTAACTTCCTTACGTTCGATTTTTCTACTACTCCTGATCACAAGGATTTCATTCTTCTATCATCTCATGCACCTACTGACAATTAGACATTTTTGTAGAATTTAGCAACAGGACTAGGCATTGTGTCAAGTTAGCTCTAATTTATACATGTACCGTATTTATTTAGCATTGACATTGACAACCTATCATTACCACAAATTGTAGACTACCCTATATGTAGTGAAGAACAAGGGCTTTTGAGTTCATGACCGTTCCTTGACATACAGGTCAACTGGCCTATGAAAGCCTATAGAGACAAAGTTAACAATAATCGTGCAGACGACATAGGCAGGACTCACCACCCTCGCCCACAGCTCCGAAATGTTGGGTATGCACGAAACCGATGTCATGAAGGATGGATTCGAAGTCGTCTGGGCGAATAGTTAGGTTTTTCGCATTCTCTTTCAGAATCTGCAGTACAAAGAGTCAACGAGTATTTTCATAGGTAATATGTCATTCGTACCTCATTCATCCGTTTCGCTTTTGCATATGAATCCCATGGTTGGGGTTCAAGAACGAAGGTTCCACCTGTCTTAAGCACTTTATGGATGCGCATAAAGAAATGTCGTAGGCCTTCATCTCCGTCATTCAAGTGAATCCATTTGGATATGGAGAACCTGTGATTACAGAAGTCAATTCTGGTATAGCCACGCGTATTGAAAAAACGTACGCAGCGACTACATCATACCCCTCAGAGTCCTCTGGTATCTCAGTCCTCGTCCAATCTGCTGTCCTGAAGGAGAGATTATAAGGAAAGACGTGCTTTCCACGAAGTATTGATGGAGGAATGGGCAAAGAACCAAACTCATGTTCACAAGAAGCGGGAAAGTAATCAGGTGGTATCGAAGGAATGACCGTTGCATCGAAAGGTTCATGCTTCCGCTTCCGTTTCTTCGAGCCTGTGGATACTTCTTCCACCTCAAGATGTGCAGCAGATGAACTTGTAGATGTAGATGGGTCTGAGGGAGCCTGAAGTGACCAGACAGCCCTACGTCGTCGCCATGCGTGTTGGATGAGAACATCGTCAATATCGACGCCAACCACTTTATGTGCACCCCATGATTGAGCTACAATTATTAATGTCTTTAGCTAAGAATATGAAGCAGAGTCCTTACAACGCACCTATTTCACAAGTAACCCAACCCTCATTACATCCTATGTCCAAGACGCGTTTCCCGGCGAAGAGTGTTGGTGGTAGGAGAGCGAGACGCGTGTCTTTGATAGTTGGTCGTTTAGAGTAGTAGCTGCAATAGAAAGAAGTCCTCAGTACGTGTTAAGAGTTTCAGTTCAACTTGTGCTAGCCGTACCCATGGTAGTTGCCATGTATTGGAACCGTGATTGACTTCGACATCGCTCGTCGTGAGGGGTCGTCACTGGATTGACGCGTTACGCGTTGTACGGTCGTAATTATCATTCATTTTTGCTAGACTACTTGGTACATGAGAGTCCTCAGACAAGCAATACTCTATACACAGCTACATCTCTACATCTCCCTCGACCATCTACGCTGAAAGATCCCATCGGCAGTTAACTTCTCCGTTCCTTTGGATCCCAAACCAGCATCCGCCTTCTGTACAGATCAAAAATCGAAATTGTACAAACTGCAAAACTAACAGCATTATACTAGCTTCTAAGGGCCTGACTGGGAATTGAACCCAGGACCTCCTCGAATTGGATATTGGCAGAACTGCCTCACCCTAACAAGGAATCATACTACTAGACCATCAGGCCGGTGAAGTCTTGGAAAAGGCCCTGGATCTGGCATTGGATGGTGCATTACAGGAAGATTAACAAGTCTAGGCATTTTTCGTCCCATTCCTCCCTATTCATAATTTAATAAATCAGATTCAGCTCTGATGCACTATCCGTACAAGGTGATAGTTTAATATCGGTGGCATCATTTTACGAGCTCTGGATTCCTTCTCGTTTGATCAGTTGTGGTGCCCTGGATCATATTCAAACATACAAGTTGAATCGGGATTTTTCCAGTACACCTTCTCTCAGTCAGGATGTCTGTGCTAAGACTGCGATCAATGTAGGACTCTAGTAAACTTCTTAGTTCATCTGGTTCTGCCGACGTCTTCGCATAGAAGGCGACATGTTTTAGGGTCTCAATCGAGGGAGTAGCACTTTTCAGATCAAATCGCGACGCAATAAAGTGTGCGTAGGTTTCGGTTGGAAAGTAGAACTGCTTTAAGTAAAATGAGCTCTCGGTGACATCAATCAAAATTGATTGGAGTTTCGGAAGAAGGATGTCCGAATTCGATGAGTTTGACTTTGGATCTTCTTCGTTGTCAACAATCAACGGTTTTAAAACTTCCTCATAAAAGACGTCATCAATCGCTAGCTCTAGGTCTTTTAAATTAGGAGTTGAATCAAAAAGTTCATGAAGGTCGGACACTAGTATTCTGAATGGTGTAACGAGTACCAGTTTTTGGAGTTGGTTTAGCTGGTTGAAAAGATGTTCTTTCTCTGGCCCCACCTTAGTGGCCGCGGTCAATTCGGAAGACATCACTCATAATATCGAAATTAATGGCAAAAAAATATCTCCTCAAAAGCTGCTGCATAAAGGGAAAGCAGTCAATGGAGTTGGGAAGTACTGAACTGTACAGTCATGTGAGTTATGTTTAAGGTAGTTTCTCGAACTAATGGAGTAGTATTCCTGGTGCTTGTTGAACTAGGGTCCACGTAGAAATATTCACACTTGAGGTTATGGCACATACCTAACAATATAGGCCAAATTCCGGTAGAAAATGCAGCGTTTTTGACCAATAAATGAGTTAAATGTGACCAGGAAAACGCTCGATATGTAAAGTCTTTGAAGGCGCCATGTCGTACTGACATTCGTGGCACAAGCGAATCCAGTGATTTCATCTAAGTCTAAATGGCGTATGCGGGAGACATACGGAAGTACCAGTCTCTCGTATAAAGCTGCCCTGTTTGGTTTATTGTAATATTTAAACTGAAAAGACCAAGGTAGATTTCTTGCTATCGGGATCCACCAGAAAAGCAGTTTTCGGATATCGGAGTAAGATCAAATGAGACCCTGCACCATAACTCCGGTGTATCTATGTAGAGCAACTCTTCTCCAAGATGAAGATACTTGTCAGAGCAGCAGCGGTAGTCTGAATGCAAACATCTTGAAATGCACCAGGATATAAGGAAAACCATCGGTTGAAGCGCATGACGTTGGATCGTATAGTTAACTGAATAATATTTGATATAGTTTCTTCTGGTTCAACTTCACTGTCGAAATCTCGAGAGAGCAGTATCGGGGAAGAAATATCCACACTTGAGGTTGCGAGCGAGATTGCGTATACTTAGTGTAGCAATGGTTTAAATCAACGGCAACATTTGCAACAAAAATGGGCGTCAACTGGTACCAAGGGAATAACAGATCGACCTTTATGTTATGAAAGCATATGCTGCTCAAAGATAGGGGGGCGTGGAAATTCCTTGGAGAACCCTTCTTGTGGCATTGCCGTCTGCAATACCAATGACTCTAACTGTTATATCCGCGGTAGCGATGATATGGCTGCCGACAATATCGAGACCAAGGTGTCGAATTCGACGGGTATGAGCCATGACCATTTGCTGAAAACCTCTCGATCGTTCAGTTTAGCGTTGTATGGGAATCGGAGAGACAACGGTAGATCGAACGCTCTAGGGATCCACCGATTAAGCATTTTCCTGCAAGCAGTATTTAGATAAAAGAACATGTTATTCCAGAGTTAGGGTGTATCCAGTGTGATCTGTCTCTAAGTCGATAAGACTCCACAGAGGACAAGCGGAACATCCTTTTACTTTGGACTACGGTAGGGCTGCTCATGCTGCTCTACATAGTATCAGAAGATAACCCGAAGAATCTCAGGCGGGAATCATCTTATTGACGATAGCAAAGTAACACATAGCTGTTGGTGTGGGTGTTTCTCAGCATGTTTGACCCGCAGTTGAACGAGGCGTTCTTCGAGTTTCAAGATCATCGAACCTATATCGAGCAACCTAGATTCATTGCTAGATCGCATGGACGCAATAAAGATGGACTGCTGCACGGAGGGAGCATCGTTTGAACTGAGAAGTGGAGATACATCCGTCTGGTATGGCCAGCTGGTTTAGGAGATTCTCCGAATCGGCTATCACATACATCTTCGTTGCATTTGATGTCAAGAATATCGAAGATAGTGCGCTAAGCCATGTTTGCGGGGCACAAGTCAAATTTCCACTCGAAGGTGATCGCAGGAGGGAAAGACGTTTCGATGTGTACACACGTTTTCTATGTGGAAAGCCTTCGGTGGAATGTTATGTTTAGGAAGTAAGTGACAGCGTAATGAGCGTCTAATTACGTATTGGATCAAGATAAACCAGAAATGAGCATTGCGTCTATTCAAAGGCCACTTCTAGCTCCCTCTCCTTCTCCAAATGTCGTTTCTTCATCGTCAACCGATTGCGCCAGATTTCCTGGTATTCAGGAGTCCATTTCCACTTTCGTCTGGAGTGCGAAGAAAAGACAGCCTCATCCGATCGCATTCGAGCGATACGGGACATTTCTTGCATATCTTCTGAAGTGCAACTCATTCGAAGGAAAGAGGCCTGAGAGAGCGTTGGATGTGTCTGTACTTCTGGATCAGAAATAATTTGCCGCCAAGGAAGAAGAACGTACAGGCCCCCGAAATACCATTCTGTGCCATTTGCAATATTTTCGTGGGTTTATGACATATTCATCGTTGTCCCTGTTCGTTTTCCTCTTCTTTTTGGTTTGTACCTCTCGATATTCAGGAAGTAACGCTGGGACATAATAAGGGATCACACTCGGTGGTAACCCTTGCGCTTCGCGTCCGACGAAACGAGCATCTGAATGCTGCAGTTCCCTTTGTCCTCTAGCAGAAACTTTCCAGTAGTGCGCCTCTTCATGATCAGAAGAATAAGTATCATAGCCTTTCCACAAGCGCTTCAACCACTGAAAGACGGAAGGGAACGTAACACCGGACGGGCGTAGCGTAGTTAATCGCGTGTGTCGGAAAGGGTCGAAAAGGCGATGGAGTGTAGTGAATGAATCAGGGGTGGATAGGGCGAGTATTGGTAGGGCTGCTATGATGCTCGCCCCGATAATTACAACTAGACGAGCCCTGTTGCTACTTGGTAAGATCATAATCTAGACCTTCATTCAGTAACCTTGTAGGCGCGTGGTGAAATCGGAAGAAGCACAAACCAGCGACGTATTCATGGAATTTTTGCGTATATCCTCTTGCTTTCCTTCCGGGAAAGATTGTATACGGTATGTCTTCGAGGTCGTTGCTCATCGTTGGATGGGTAGAAAGGTCGACAGACACGCGGTGGACATGTGCCAGCAAGCCAGGAATAACGCCGCGGTTAGCGTGCCGCCCTAGGACCTGCAAACGTTTATCAGCTGGACTGCGTTGTAGTACCCGTGTCGTTACTCGGAAGTTTTTCATATCGATGTAACGATCTTAGACTGTTCGAACAGTCATTCAGGAATTTAAAAAATCGACGCACGTAAATGACTATATTTGCTAAAGGCTTGTTGCCCTTGCCAAACAAAACAAGATCGCATTGTCCGTTGTAAGTTGTATAGTAACTCAATCTATGATGGGCCGAGATCTGAGTCACCCGGTGAGAGGTTCTTCTTGCTCTGATATGGACTACTTATATTCCATAAAGCAATGCTAGTATTACTGAAGCCATGCAGTATCATCCTATAAGCAGAGTGAACGTGCACATGACAGGTTAAATGGCATACGTTGGCGACAGTTTTCTTATGCCACTGAATCCAGCACCATGGCCCATTCCTAATCTAAGGGCCCATGCAAGTACGCCAACTTAACCATCGCTATCTCTCTGGATAGCTCTGGCATACTTCCACCCGTAATTTCCACCCTCTTTACTACTTTCTCGCCCTGAGACAACGATATCCAGAGCAAGCATGTCGTGGATTCCGTTTGGGACAGAAACTTGAATCTTTTTCGCAGATTTGTGATATAATCAAAGCCAGGATTTTCCTTAGATTTTTTTTAAATAGCAATTCCTTGATAAATAGCAAGTTTGTTGTTTGTGCTTTGGGCAACGATGAACTTGAGTCAACAACATACGAGTTACAGATGCGTCAATTGTGAACGAAATGTTTAAAGCCATATGAACCTATCTATATCCTGCCGACTCATTATCCTTTGCTAGTCATATGCATATACCAGTGGCACATGGACTAATCCTAGGTGATGTACCGACCATTGTCAAACGTTTCTATTAGTATGTGAACTAGACGATATTCTCCTGGCCTTCAAGACGTTCAACTGCCGAGCATTACTCGCAATTCAAATTCCTAACAGGATAGACATAAAGCAAGGTATATCATGATTCAAATAAGACTACTTATCTACTCTGACCAATTGGATGTACTCAAGTACCATGGAGCTGTTACGTCGTGACATTTCGTGTCGAGTCACGAAGAACAGTCACGCAGAGGATATTTCTCTTCTTCTACATCACCATCATCTCTGGCCAGACAGCATTGACGTTCATGTTGGACATGCATCTTTGAGCGACTGGTACACTATAATACAGGCGAACCATGGCATATGAAAACGCATATTTTAATCGCCCAACCGGAACGGAAATTTTGCGGAAATCGCTTTCAAAAAAAGGCACGGATGCAATCAAACCAAACGATTGAAATTTTCGCGCTCTACGATTTCTCTAAGGGGTACGGGAAGGCT